TTTTCGTGATGGAGAAAACCTCCTCCACCACGAACTAGCCAAACATTGGTTTTCATCCTTTACCTATGTTCGTAACAGTTTTGATAGCGATGCATATGCTTCCACCTCGTTTGTCAGCTCAGATCAGCAAATGACGTTCGATAGAATTATTTACATCATCGTTTTAACTGATTTGCGTTATGGGGCTGAACCAATACCATTTGCATTTCCATTTAGTATGACAGTCATTCTATAGAGAGCATTACGCATTTCAACTGAAGGCCCTATCCCTTCTCATAACAATTTTCATCCTGTATTCGAGAGGAAAATCATCTGATTCCAAAACAACCGTCATTCGGTTGCAGCCATCATTCGAAAAAGCGATTTCGGTGTTTTGTTTTGAATGGTCTGAGGTTTCATTCGATCAGAGGATGATGTTTGTGTACAGTGTAGACCCAATTGCATGAAAATCGAACGCCAACTGATCGAAAGGTTTTTCGGGTCCATCGATTCAGTTTTCACAGTTGCATCGTTCGATGTAAACCGATTGCATCAGGATCAAAATCAAAAAAATAATTGAAATACGAGTCAATATAAACTAAAAAATCCATAATTCGTTTGGATTCCAATTCATAGTTGTATTCGAGAGAAATCATACGGTGGCTGTATGAATCAATTTGACAGTTCTTCGTAGTCCTCTTGTCGCAAAAAAATCATACGACATTACTATGAAATGTGATGGAATAATAGTCTCTTCGATACCTATTATTGGTAGCAGTAGATTGATATGGTTCGAATATTTAGAAACAAAGAGCCCTCATCTTCCTACTAACAAACACGCAGGACAACCAGACAGGACGTGAAATTATGACAAACGGACAAAACGGACGATGATTGGAAGATGGATAGAGAGGGACCGAAAAAATCTCAACTGATTTTTTGCTGCCTGATCGAGAAGGATGTTAGGGACATATTACGCTCGTCTACTTTTGAGCGGCAAAGAGGTAGCGTAAAAGAAATCTCAAAACTCGCATTAGTAGCCCCCCATAAAACTGATGCATTTTGGCCGAGTAAAAGATGCAGAGAGGTAGCATTTAGCAGCAAAGCGAACTAATGAATCCTTCTTCTCTTCCAATGCACCGTCCAGAACCCCCTGCTAACAGAACAACGACAGGAAAGGAAAACGTGGTTTGTCGCTCTGCAGCTTGGCTTGGGCTACGGGTTGAAGTATACGATGGAAAACGGGGATAATTATGCGATATACCCATAAGTACCTACTGCACTTCTTTCTCAGCCTTCGAAAAAGGGGACAGAGGAATTCGCTACAAATTGTCGTTTTAAACGTTTACGTAACAGCTGGGAAATATGAGGCATTGAAGGTAGCAAGATATTTGGTTGAGCAGATTTTTCAATTCAATGTATAGGGAAGAGCGCTACTTCGTCGTAATCGCCCATTTACGTTCCATCGATCAGAAAAGATCAATAATATCAATGATTTCACCGTAAACAAATCCGACGGTTTGTTGCGATGCGTTAGTTCATTAGCTACAACATACAATCGTATTAGAGCGCATTGTAATATTTACGCTCATTGTTCGTTCTCAAAACAGCGTTAGGACGGAATTGAAACTCGTAGAACGAATTGAGAATCAAGAAGCAGTATTAGATTTTAAACAATATCTCAACAATTTGTGACTCTTTATCAAATGCAACGGTACGTTGAAAGGTGAATAAATTTAGAAGTCATCTTTGACAGAAATATTCCATATTTTGATCAAACCCGTTCAAAAAATAGAGGTAAAGCGCAGGTTGTGCTAAGTAGGACGGAAATTAGGACAAAAACCCTTTCGGAGATTTATTTGAGAAGCTAATACCCCGTACAGACTATGGCTTATATCATGTAATATAGGCTGTCTTGCAATGAGCACTCATACATAGGATTTCCAGTAAAAAGTAGATGTATGGGTGCTCATTGCAAGACAGCCTATATTACATTATATAAGCCATAGTCTGTACGGGGTATAAGAAAGAAGGGAAATTTTAAAAACTATTGGTGCTTAAAATACATAAATATGATTTCTACATAAAAAAAATCTAATAATACTCCGTTCACATTACAGCTTATATTATGTGATAAAGCCTATTTGGATAAGGGCCTTCCACAAACCACGTTGACAGGTTTTGAGCTTAGTTTTGAAAGCTAGCTTCCAGCTTTAGCGACTTTCAAGATACTGGGCTCGCCACAGTCCTGAAATTCACTTCATAATATTCCTCGGAATTCGTTAAAAGTTCTTGTACTTTTCCTGAAATTAGGGGCTGTTTTTGAGTTCTCTGGTCATCCTCGAAGCGCTCGGAACTTTTCTGATAATAATAAGACTACCGGAATATCTCAAATCATCTTTGAAGTTCTCTGGACTTTTTCGAAGATTGCAAAATCTTCTAAGTGATCTCACAATTTTCTTGAATTTATTGTAACATCAGCATTGAAGTTCTCTGATCTTCCCGATTTTTTTAATTCTTAAAAATTATCGACAGTGCGATTAAAAAGCATAGAACTTCCCATAAAATGTTCTCACAATGTTCTAATGTTCATGTACCTTCCCTTCCGTTTCCTAAATTTGCATGAGCCCCTCAGGACATTGCTGAAGTTTTCGGAAATTGCCTGAGTTTCTCCTTTATAATTTCCTTTATAATTTCAGAAATATCATTGATATTAATTGATCGGTCCTCTGAGCTTCACTAAAGTTCCTGAAAACCATTAAATTTCCCTGATGTTTTTTGGACTTGTGATGTTTCCAAAATATTTATGATGTTTCCTTAAGTTCACTGGAGTTTGCTGGACTTCTTTGAAATTTCCGGCTTACACAAAAGTCTGGACTTTTCTGAAGTTTCAGAACTTCTTAAATGTTCCTTCAGCTAGTGTGGATCCGCAATAAAAATCTGATAGCATCCTTGAAGTTCCGGGAAAGTTGAAAAAACTGGCGGGAGAAGATGAAAGAATCATTCGAGTGAAGGCTGAAGAAGCTTCCAAGGTAAGGTGGAAGAAAATTCCAGGGAAAGTTGGATGAAACTTCAGGAAGTTTAAAAAAGAATAAAAATTTCCGGAAGTTAAATAATGTTTAAAAAAATATTTCTCGATTCCCTAGGAATTACCGGAAAGAGCCATCGACTATTTCTCGATTGATGGGTAGCTAAAAACGGTGAGGAAATGCAAACATTAGTCGTATCAAAAAAAAAGTATCAAGCATAAGGCATCTTTAGAGATGATTGGGGCTCAAAAAATATGAGGTATTCAAAAATATACAAGTCTCTCACAAAAAATCTCGCAAAAAATTTCTCCGAAATTCGAGCGCGGACAGGCAATAATAATTTTGAATTAAAAAATAAAATCGGTATAAATCGGTGTAAAATCTCAAAAATCGGTATTCTGAGGAACCTTATCTGTATATCGGTATCTGGTTCGAAAATCGGTATAAATACCGATAAATCAGTATATCTGGCAACGCTGTATGCAACTGTCTTCCCATTATAGTCGCTATATTCATAGTCTGGCGGATAGAATCTCGGGAGCCAATTGAGCTGTCAAATAGCGGAACCAATCGAGCAAATCACGACCAATAACAGAAAAGAGCACATCAGCAAACAAAACTTCGGAAACCCTTTTCTCGTGGCTCAAGGCTCGCCTATGCAAACTAACACCATCTTTGGGTTGAGGAAAGTTTCCCCTATCCGACGACGCTGGTAATTTGCGTTCGATTGGCGAGGAAAGAATAATCAACGTTTTGTTTATAAAAGTTCATAGTACCTTTTCAATTGGTGGTCTACAATATATTGAATTGGTTTCGCTTTTTGATAAATCGTAATTCTATCCGCCAGACTATGAATATAGCGACTATAACTATAACTATGGGTCGATAGGTAGGGTCCAGGTGTGGGAGCTGCCTTCCTGGCGTTGGTAGCATTGGTGCTCAGCACGGAAAACAAACCAAAGTAAAAAAAAAATCAGCAATCGACTAAATTTTTAATAGCGACTAAAAATATCCATTAGTACCGTCCCAATTACGCGTTCATCTAGATAAAATTGATAATCCATAGGCCAACATTAGAGCCATTTCCCCTATGTCAAGTTGATCGGCAACGAACATTTCGATAATATACATATACATACATATGTATCAATCGAAATGCGTCGAAAATCAGCACTTTAGTTGCAAATTGAAAGGATCCGCAAACACAAAACATTGCTCGGTAGCGAACTGTCAAAATTTACAGAAAATCGATCGATTACCGGAATGTACGCCAGAAACATTTAGGAATGTATGGCAGAAATGTACGCTCAATTTTGTGGCGATAAAATCGTCGCTTTTTGCTATTATAATTTTTTTCTTAAAGATCGTAATATGTTTTTTCTTCTACATAATGAAAACATCAAAACAATTTTAGTTTCGAAAAATTTCCAAGAAGTAAAAATATATTTCTCATCTCTTAGATAATTGTAATTAAATGTTCACAGCAGATGTGTACGCTCACTTTTGAGAGTAACTGTATCTTCCAAATCTGTGACTCATCTTACCTTAGATTCTCCCACCCGATCGCATAAACATCAACATCCCTCTCATGGAAAGCTCACTATCCGACCAATCGCCCACCAACATCGGGCATCTGTTGACGTCGTTGACGGCGACGTTGAAACAACGAAAGCTCCTTTTATTTGCGTGTGTTGCACAACATATTCACCCATTATTTTCACCGATACAAAATCCCCAAAACACCCGCCCCGCGCACACACATAACACAAGACCTGTATATGCGTGTGTTGGTTGCACACGGGAAAAACAAACGCGCCACGCACAAAAAGCTTCACATTTGCCGGTGTGTGAGTTGCACATGGGACCGAAAGCACCACCGCACACGGCCGAACGCGGCTAGACAACACGACGAACACGAGACACACCAACACACCCGCAGCCACTACTGCCAGTACGCAGTACCAACCAGGCCAATAAGATTTGGCTGCCTTGTTCGAGCTTCTCTTCTGTCCATAGTAGCCAAGGCAAGCAGTTCGGTTCGAAGTGTTCCTCCATAGGAAAAAAAGTGATCATAAATTAGTGCTATTTGAACGGTGAAATTCTCCCGAAATTTGCTCCGGTAAGTTGTTTTTCGCTTTCTAGGGCCTATGGCCACATCTTTCAAAGGGTTTTTTTCGGGCTGGTCGCAAAAATCTGACTCGCTTTTAGCGGTTAAAATGACCAATTTCCGAGTGGTCCACTGGCGTGGGTTCACGAACAAATTTGTTCTATGGCCGCCATAGTGGATTGTTCGGTGGCGAGCCGCGATCGGAAGATGGCATTTATCGTCGGAAATACGGTCCGATTCCGGTGGAACCTTGGCCGGGGCGTTTTTCACATCCCCCAGCTAGCCACTGGAGTGACATTCGAGCCCCACTTCTATTTTCGGTCGAAGAAAAAAATTCGCCGAAAAGCAAGATGGCTCAAGCCGTCGAACAAATGGCTTCCACTCTAGTACTAGTCGTCGAACAAATTGCAAGGGGCAAAATTTAAAAAATAAATTTCTTCAACCGATTGCGTCCGATTGGGAATCCGTGTTCTACAATCGTCCTAGTTTTTCCGGCCCCGTCGATTGGTACCACTGTTCCAGGGTGTCCGGAGTAAATGTTCCGAGATTAACCCATTTCGCGCCAAAATAATTTCCCTCAAAAGGCGAACTTCCGAGGCCACTGGACGGCCATAGAGCAAAATTTTTGTTCGAAGATGACGACGGTCGTCCTATCCTATATCCCACCCATGACATGATGGAGGCGAGCGATTTTCATTCACAAGCACACAACGGGCCCTGGGCCGCTGGTGTGTGTGCGCGGGCGCTCGATCTAATCGGGCTAGGTGTTGGTGTACCCTACTACTGATAGCGCGCGCGCACACGCACACACATTTGGGAAAGCTTGGCCTGGTGTTTTTGTGGGAAATATATCCAAATCAAAGGCGGTTCGATGAACCGGTCGTGTGAATCTTGTTGGGATGAATGAAGAGAACACCAATTTGGTTCATTTCAAATTTTGAATTAGTGGATGAATGATGAATGACGGAGGGAAGGGTTCACATCGAAAATAACCAAATGTGAAAACAGAAAACAACGCAAACAGTAAATAGTTGTACGATAAGGAATAAAAGAAACATGAATGTTCCTGGGGAGCAGTGACATGTGTCTTCTATGCAGTTATTTTTATTTGTTAGCATACATTTATATTTGTTTTATTTAGCATATCATTAGTCTGTACTTAGTAATTTTACAGTTTTGGTCAATTTCAATACATAACCACGTTATTTTTGAAAAGTTCCTCAAATTTTCAATGTTAATGCGTTAATATACTGATGTAGATCTCGATTTTGGTAACATGGTATTTGTTTTTGGCAGAGATATCCCAATCGGAGCGAGTGGGGTTCGAAGTCCCATAGGATGCCACTTCAGGTGATACAACCGATTGACTTTTGGGAATAAATTAATTATAATTATTTTTTGTTTGAATTGTGATCGATTAATGTAAGCTGTCAGTTTTTATCAGTTTTAGCCACCTTGTGGACAAAAAGCTATTGAAAAAAAACATGTAACAGTTCGAAAAATAAAAAGGGGGAAATGGATGTAATGTCGGCCTAAATGCCCTTAATTTGGGCCCATACATAAATTCAGCATTCGACTAAATTTTCAATAGCGACCAAAAATATCCATTAGGACCGTCCCAATGACGCGTTCATCTAGATAAAATCGATAAATAGCAGATTTTTAGCGATGGGGCCCAATCCATAGGCCAACATTGAGCCATTTCCCCTATTACTTTAGTCCTTTTTTAATATCCATTGATTAACTTGATTCGCTTTCTACCGCGGACTGAGCGAAGTCCTCGGTGCACTACCAAAACCTGGTTGAAAATTAATAAATTGTGTCACATCGAAGCACAACTTGATTTGGTAATCAAGTTGTGTTCGAGTAAATAATTTGCCTTTAAAAACTTACATCAAATCCACAGCTTGATTGGGTAATAAATGAAACATTCATTGAAGATCAGCGTGTAAAGCCTGACAATAAGAGTTGCGAACAGATGGAACCTTTAGTTGTCTAATTGATTTGGCAGAATTGTTTTTGATTATTTTTTTTCAACGTGATATAGACATTCAAGTCCGTTATCTTCCAAATTTGTCGACATTTTTTTCAAAAGCCAGAAATTAAAAAAAAAATCTTTGAAACCCGGTAATTTTCGCGGGGGGCGACTCCTATAATACGATGCAGGAAAAATGGTGTTGTGTACTGTGGTTAACTGCGCGCACGATTCGCTAGTGTGAGATTTGTTGAGAATCTAGAATTGTCGTTTCCCTCGATAATTTTAGTATTTGTCCAAACATCGACACAAATTCATGTCGCAGAATATTAACTGCCGCTATTCGCATAACAGTCCCATGTTCTATGGATTTCCTATCTACATAGGACTGTTATGCGAATAGCGGCAGTTAAGTAGTCCATTCAATTGTATTGCATTTTATTACGGAATTGTAATTCGGAATCAAATCTCTTTATTTTGTTTTTTTTTTAGATTGCAGTTCAAGACGCATACAACATTTTCTAAAAATTAATAAGATTTTTCTTCGACTGCGACCTAGAGAAGTCGTTTGAGATGTTACAGAAGTTTCTAGATCTTTAAAAATGTCGGAAATTTTTAAAATTCGAGACCGAAATATTTTTCTTTGTGCCTCAATTTCGCGATCTGCATCTATTATCAACTAAGTAAATTGTTTGTTTAAAAAAAAAATCGAGATACATAAAATAGTATGGTGTGAGCAAATAGACGTTTGAATTGGACCGTGCTCTTCTTGCTTATTCGATTAATACTTATTTTTCGAGAAGAAAATAAATGGGATCCTTAAACCATTTTTTTAAGGCTCAAGATGGATTTGTAAGTTTATAAAGTTGCAATCGCAATCAACGAAAGATTGAAACCATTTCCGGTCAATAAATGTCACTATTGGTCACTTATTTATAGTTTTAAAGTCACTATTAGTTACATATTTATTGTTTTAAAGTAACTATGATGTCACTTGTTTATTGTTTAAAGTTACTATTTTCATTAGTTTTAGTCACTAATATTATATCTCATACCCACTACCAGCCCTGTAATGGTAGTTTTAAAGGGAAGTTCACCGCTCCGAAAACAGTAATTACGTTTTGAATTTTCTAAAATTACTGGAAAGAAATATCAAAAATCGGAATAAATAAAAGGTGCCTGATAGATTACATTATTAACTATATGTCAAGCTTATAAAATCATCCAGAAAATGGATAGTCGTGAAATAGGATTAATTTTTAGGTCATCAACATTCGGAAGCGATTGTCTCGATATGGTGATTTTGGAAATCCGCCCTTTTCAAATGTTAGTCTAGATTTGTTCTAGTTTTCTAAATAAAATTGGGTTCTTTAATTTTGAAAAATATAACGGTTTTTATATATCATCTGAAAAAGCTCGGTTTTCTGAGCAAAGCGATATTTTTTTCGAACCCACACACTTTTACAAAGTGACACCGAGGGGTGCTAATAAGGTGATTTTTTGCAAATGTAATCGTTCTTATTTTAAACAGTTCCCGCGTACCAAAATTTATGGAATTTCGGGTTTGGATTCCATTTTTAATGCAGATAACGAATATGCATTTACCTCAATACCCTTAAAGAACCCAATTCACGTGCACAATCACTTTCCGGAAGTCATCATGGCATAATGTTGGACTCAAACCACAAAGCATCGTCCTTTCGGTTTTGCTGAGGGTTTAACTTTTAATTTTTGAGGTGGGGAACATATTTTTACATGTTATTTTTTCAGGAATCTAAGCGAAAAACTGATTTTCTTGGATTTTGATAACTTTTCCCAATATTTTCAGAAATTATTTAATTATTATTTCAGAAACAATTATTTTCGGGGCGTTAAACCACCGACGAACCGACGTGACAGCTCATAGAAGCGACTGTCAAAATCTTGCCCAAGACGCCATATTTAAAATACGTCGAACACTACCGCCATCTACTCATCCGAACGTGACATATCATAAGCAAGGACACAAACACACTCCTTTAAATTTGTCGAACCTCTTAACGGAATCCCTTTATGAAGAGCTTTAAGTGGGTTGGTTTATTGCCTTTAAATTCTGTTATAATTGCTTATCTTTTGACAGATACGCTTAGTACTTGGGCACTTATGAAGTCTGCAAGTAGTAGACGGTTCGTCGGTGGTTAAACTTCCCCTCAGACTCACTGGAAGAATTAATGAATTCGAGGTGAACATGCTTTATGAATGCTTGACAATTATTCTTGGAAACGGTCACATTCTGAAAATTTGACAGGGATTTTCCGGTTTCGTCAATACTTTCACGGCCAATGAGATCGACTCAAATTTGAGTTCAGTTTACTTATAAATCTCAAAAAGAGCAGCGTTCAGCGCTGAGTAAACTTTCCTGAGTTTTTCCAGGAAAAAATTTCCGAATAAAGCCAATACATAATGGATTCAATCAGTTTATTGGTACTACTTCGAAACTAAGTAAAATTTTCGTCAATTTTTTTCGGCAGATTTTTTATAATTTTAAAAGTTATGTATGGACAATTCTAGATAGAGATGGAATAAGAGTCTAACAGCTTTTGTAAACAATGCCTTCTCTTGATGATTTCTAGAAATTCAAGGCTCGCCCACGCAAACCAACATTCTCAACTCAACAGGTAAGGAAAGAGGTTGGTCTGCGTGAGCGTGCCTTGAATTCCTAGAAATCATCCGTAGAAGTCATTGTTTACAATACAAAAGCTGTTACGCCCTAATTCCAGCTCTATCTAGAACTGTCAACGTAGTTAATGAACAGCCCCACAGGAAAACGTGAGGCAAATTTACTTGTCGCTGAGTTCCTGTACTTTTTGGGATTTATGAGTAAACTGAACTCAAATTTGGGTCGATCTCATTGGCCGTGTTTATCTATTATCGTTAGGTGATAATTAAAGTTCTCGTGCGTCGTGCGCTCATTTTCTGCATGAGGATGCATCATGTTTCAGGGCATCGTTTGACCAACAGCAATGACTTGAACATTCCATAAACTCCACGACTATCG